TGTGCCATGAGAAAGCATTGTATAACTATTATATACAAGTGACAAGTGGGATATTCCATGGTGTGCCATGAGAAAGCATTGTATAACTATTATATTCCACACCGTAGCAAACACAAATGCATAGACATGCTGCTCATTTTAGGATAAATAGTACACTCAACAAAATTACTCGACTCTGATTGGTGGAGAGGAGTACAATTATAACGTTAATTGTACTCCGTAGGAGTACCGAATTAAGTCGCTATGGCAACACGGCCAAAACAATGTCAAAAATATTATTTTCTATCATTTTGTACTTAAAAAACATATAAATAAAATTTCAAAGCCGTAAGAACTAATCTTTTTTATGCATTTCAGTTGTGCGATGGACTATAAATCGGCCGCCAAATAGACAAAGATGAACGGCGTCGCTTCGCATTTTTTACTGAATTTTGTTGAGTGAACTATAAACAAAAAATCGCACGATCTTCTCGTACAATTTGGAATTAATAGACACTCGTAATGTTTTGAAAGTTCTTTAATTGCACTCGCCTAAAGGCTCGTGCAATTATAAGAACTTTGAAAACATTACTCGTGTCCATTAATTTCCAAATTGTACTCGAGATCGTGCGATTTCCTATACAAATTTTTGTTGGTGTTTTTGTTTAAAATAATCATGCATGAATAAGCTTTGTTGTTGTTTGGGGATTTGCTTTTCTTGTTTTTTTTTTCTCTCTCATGTGTTGCTCCAAGTGCTGCTGTTGTTTCCTTTGCATTTTTTTTTTTGGGAAGGGGGGGGGAGGGGGGCTGGAGGGATTTGTTTTGTTTGTTTGTGCATCCCTGGTTTTGTAGGAGCATGATGTGCTGCTGTGGCTCATAATTGCTCCTATATTATAGTGTTAGATGGTACTGTATATAACCACTGTAACACACACTTAACTTGCACTTCTTGTTTTTCCTGTTATTTTTCTGATTTGTATTTTCCAATTAAATGAAAGGTTCCAGACAGTAGGCAATCAAGGTCATCCCCAAACTACCAACTTGATAGAACTTTGTTTGATGACCAACTAAAACAGCTAGAAGACAACCACCAGGAACAACTAGATCAACTGAGAGCACATAATGAAAGATTGAAGGAGGAGAAACTTGGTAATTTTTACAAAATAGAATAAAAAATTAAAATAAAGTTCTTTATTTGTTAAGTGAATCATTTAGTGTTTTTAGCACTAATTGGGGAAACTTTTTCTCTCATGCGTGACACTACCGCTTCATTCAATGCCCAACTCACATGTTGATTTTTATGGAGGAAACTGGAGAACCCTTGCACTGGAGAGAACAGTACGTAATTATACATGTATATCAAATAAATTCAAGTCGTATATGGTGTTGCACTGGGCTTGAACCAGTGACCATTACCTGATTGGTGAAATTCCCAGGGTACTTTCCTATATTCGCTATACAGGTACGTGCCGCCAAACAGGGTATGGTTTTCAGC